GTGACGGCGTAAGAGAAATCTCCATCATCCCAGGGTTTTACCATCCCCAGAAAGACCTGATAGATTCTGATATATGGCTGTCAGCAAGAGTTAGTGTGTATCGCGGCTGATTGTTACTGTTAAGTCTAAATCACGCTATCAAAGTTACGAAGTACTGCAGGATACATAGAATAGCTCTAAACTACCATACGTAGCGTTAACCGCTCCCCTGGCTGCCACATGTTTATAATTGTAAATTTTTACTTTCATGTTTATAATTATAAATTTTTACTTTCATGAAGCTGGATAGTACAAATGGCAATTAGTAACTTGTAATTAGTTAATTACCATTAAGCGTACCGTAGTGTGAATGGCAATTAAGCGAATAATAAGGTAGATAACGCTTTGTGGTCGGCGTGAAAGAAAAAATTATGTTTAAATTAAATTATTTCTATGCCCATTTCACTGCAGTGCAGAGCATTGAAGTAGAGGTTATAATAGTCTCAATAATGCAAAGACATTATTTTTCTGCATAACTTTCAAAACAAACTTTTCTTTAATAAAATAAGTACAAGTATATAATGAGCAAATATTTTTTATTCACAAACAGAGAACGTTTTTAACACAATATCTTTATCCCGCTGGGTCATGTCGTTAAGATCAGTTGGTCAGGGTCCTGCTAAGTGCGACATATTTGCACTTCGATATGGTTGTAGCATTAAAGTATAAACACGATGGATTGTTAATAATTTATCAGAGCAATAATAACATCATAAACCAATTAAAATCCAAAGGTCTTACTCATAAAAGCGACGTCAATTTAAGAATGATTGTATTTGCTCTCTCTCTCTCTCTGAACTGAATGTCAATAGAAAGAGACAGATATAGAGATACGACTTCAAGTAAAACCGCAAGTGTTATATTACTCACTAGGATTTTTTTCTGTATCATATAAAAAAGTTCCGCTGGGTTTCTTGCTGGTTCTTCCCAGGACAGGGTTTTTTTTTCGAACCAGTGGTAAATTAAAAAATGACTTTCAATAAGAATTACACATGTAATGTATATTGAATAAAAAATATTCTATTCCATTCTATTCTATCCTATATCGTGGGGGCAGTATAAATACATAATTTTCACAAGGACAAACATCCAGACTCGGAAATATTATTTGTAGGCCATACAAATATTTATTCCGTGCAGGATTCGAACCCGCGGCCCTTAGCGCTGCAACTCTTTTTTTATAGGATAGGGTGACAAACGAGTTACAGTCCATCTGATGGTAAGTGGTTACTGTGACTCATAGACATCTATATATATCCTCAATAAAGAATCAAAATGCAGATGCGTCGTCACACGTAAGGACTAAGATGGAATGTCTCGTTTCTAGTAAAAAAGGGTCTCCGGTTCTCTACACTCACCATACGAAACACAGCAGCATTAAGCTGCTATTTAACGTTGGTATTCTGTGAGAGCGTGGTCCCTCCCCGGTCGAGCAGACCCATTCGTGCTACAACTATACTACTAATATAGCTGCATCATTTCTCTACCACGTCAAACATTTTTTAAATTATTTACTGGTATACAGTAATTTCATTTTAGTCCTCAGTGGTGACACAAGATCTGCATTTTGATTCTTAATCGATGATAGATATAGATGTATTTGGTCCACAGCATCCACATACCATTAGGTGAACTGTGTGCTCGTATGTAACACTTATTCTATAAAAAATCATAAATTCAATTACACAAAACCTACCATAAAAAGAGCTGTGGTAGCTCAGATGGTTAGCCAACAATGAAATTGTTAATTGCAATTTTAAGTGCTGATTCACCACGTGCTCGGCGGTGAAGTATAACATCGTGAGGAAACCTGCATGTCTGAGAAATAAGAAAAAAAATATTTCGAAGACATGAAGGTCGCGAACACGCATTGGGGCAGCGCGGCGGACACTTCCGTGCCCTAAAACTCTCAGAAATGATAGGATGCCTCTGTCCAACAATACGACGTATATAATATGTAAGTAGGCTGTAACTTTTACCATAAAAAGGATCTTTTCGCCTTTTAATTCGCCAAAAACGATTTAAAAAAAAAATCTTAAGCTTGTAATTCGTTGTTTTGCATAACAAACATCGCATCGTCCGATTAAATAGATGATTAACGTAGTATTTATAAAACGTTTCAATAGATAGGTACTTCGTAGTATGACGTGTTTCTGATACATTTGCTTTGTTCTCTTAATTATTATATCGTGTATGTATGTCGTCATCCAGAACGTTAGCTGCATATTTATAAATGTTTATGATTTGTCGATACAGTGTATTTTAGGGTGCCGTGCCAAAAAAAAACGACAGTAGCCTAATGGCAGGGTGCGCACCGCGAATTCGAAAGGTCGCGAATTCGAATCCACCATTCGACTACTATCGTGAACCACTCCTAACAAGCATTTTAAGTTTACCAGAAGTGGTTAAAGGGAATATTAGTAATATTTAATAGCATTATTAGTATTTAATTTAAAAAAAACTAGTAAACTGAACACTTACGGAATCATCGCGGGGTTTGTCTGTTAGTGTATTTGTTTGTCACAGAGCATCTCATACATTATTTCATTAAAGTTACAACTTAAAGTTACAGCCTATATACGTCCCACTGCTGGGAACAGGCCTCCTGTCATTTCTGAGAGTTTTGGGGCACGGAAGTGTCCGCCGCGCTGCCCAATGCGAGCGTTGGCGAACTTCACATGTCTTCGAAATATTTTATTTTCTTACTTCTCAGACATGCAGGTTTCCTCATGATGTTTTCCTTCACCGCCGAGCACGTGGTCAAATGACCACCTAAACATATGCCTTCCCGATAGATTGCCTCATAAGGGATTTTGCTATAGTTGCCACGCTTGGCAGGCGTTTTTTTTATAAAATTCAGTTATTATCAGGATGTTGCTGCCGCTCATCTCCTGTTTCAGTTTACCTTTGTCGCCTGTTCCGACACACGCGGCATGATATGGGATAGTGAATATTGTTACACCGCCATACACAGCAAAGGAAAGTTATAAAAAAGCAACAAAATACGAATTTTTCGGGATAAGTGTCTAGAACTTAGAGTATAACATAAGCTCTAAAGTCTGAAGATAGAAAGAGAGTTCAAAAAAAATCTGTTAACTCTTTTCTGAAAGAGAGTTTTAAAATTGGTTCATGGAATAATAATGTCCTGCAGATCGAATGTCGGTTACGACGACCAGCCCCAACGGAGACTAGCCATCGGCGCAGGACAGGATTATAGTGCCCAAGTGTATGCGCAAGCACAGGTGCACTCTCTATACCCTCACTCTCATAGTCCGATGGGACGGTGATTCGACACGACCGGAGAGAGATCAGGCGCAGGATCAAAGGCTTAACGTGCTTTCCGAGGCACGGGGCTGAGACACCGCCAACTTCCTGACTCCGGGCAGCTACTGAGAATTTCTTGAAGGAAATACTCCATAACTGTTTTTGGCCAAACCCGGGATTCGAACCCGGGACCTCACGATCAGCAATCGCGTTCACAACCACTAGCCCAACGAGGCAGTAATGTATAGTTCATGGAATATCAACTATACATTAGATGAAACTAATTTTATCGCGTTTAATTTTAACTTTACGGATTGTAACGCGTTTAATTTTGATTTTTTAATTAGTTTCGTGTAATGAGTAGTGTTCGCGTTAAGATAAGAAACCATAATATCAACTACAATTTAAATACTCCACTGTTCAAGCAATAATAAAATGGGACAAAAATATCTGCAATAGTCAAAAAAGCTCACTGCTTATTAGAATGGTCTTTCAATTTATTTCAAATATGTCCACTTCTATCAAAAAGGTTGTATAATATTAGCATAACATTAAAATCAAGGAAAATTATAGAATGATGATTATAAACACCTGAATTAATTAATGTATAATGATTGGTGATTCATAGAGGATCTTAAAATGGACATTTAAAATAACTTCAAATCCAAAAAAAGTAGAGCTATGTTCATCTCTGTCTAATTATCTCTGAAAAAATTCTGTAAATATCTAGAAAAGATTCGTTGCCTTGTTGCGGCGTGAAAGATGAACGAATTAACAAACAAATAATCGCACTTTTGCATACGCCAAATTATATTTAGAATAGTTAGAACTACTCTGTTGTGCTTTTTGCTTTGCATGTTTTTGAACGACAATCAAATAAATTATCGATTTTTCTCTCTAAACTGTTTATACTGACCATACTATAACTTTTCAACCGACTTCAAAAAGGAGGAGGTTCTCAATTCGTCTGAATCTTTTTAATGTATGTTCATCGAATACTCGAAGACGCCTGAACCGATTTTTGGCTGTATCATGGAGGCAGTTTTTTTTATAGTATAGGGTGACAAACGAGCACACAGTCCACCTGATCGTAAGTGGCTGCTGTGGCCCATAGACATCTACATTTATCCTCGTTTGCGAATCAAAATGCAGATGCGTTGCCACCCGCGAGGACTAAGATGGAATGCCTCGTTTCCAGTAAAAAGGGTCTCCGGTTCTCTACACTCACCATACGAAACACAGCAGTGTTAAGCTGCTATTTGACGCTGGTATTCAGTTTACATACATCCACATTCTGAACTGGAATATTTGTAGGCCAAAATCTACTATCCCATTTCGTTCCGATGGTGTCGTAAGAGGCGACAGAGGGAAAATTAAAAAAAAGATGGACAGCAACTTCCTAATGACAACTCAAAATAATAAAAAACTGCGGTTGCCAATCCGCTTGCCAAGCATGGCAACTATGGCAAAATCCCCCCCCCCCCCTGAGGCAATATATGAGGGAGGCCGATGTTCAGCAGTGGACTTTATAGGCTGCAATGGTTATGGTAATAGTATACAAATACTTGTTCCGTACGGGATTCAAACCTGCGGTCATCAGCGCCGCAACTCATTGCGAAGCCACTGCGCCACGGAGTGGTCTGACCTTAAGTGGTACTTAACAAAACAATTGGTTTATAACTGTGAACACAACTTACGTCTGTATTGCTCTGGACTTCATTATCAAGCTGAACTGGCTGGTAGTCAAACCCAGGTTCGGGTGAGGTGCTACTCTGCTCTTGAGACGCAACGTCATCAATATTGAAGGTTCCACTATTTAGTTGTGGTGCATATATTTCACACTGATAATCGTGGTCCTGAATACCAATTCCTTTTTCTCCCAGGTCTTCTAATGTAACAGTACACTTCTGTTTAGAGGAAGTGTCCACATTGTGAAGAGTGGTCACTTTCAAGCAGACTTCAATCTTGTAGTGATTTTCATCCTATAAAGAGAAATAAAATTAAGCACAGTTGAATACAAATGTAAATAATAAAGTTAAAGTCAAAGTTGCAGCCTATATACGTCCCACTGCAGGGCACAGGCCTCCACCCATTTCTGAGAGGGTTTTAGGGCAAGGAAGTGTTCGCCGCGCTGCCTTAATGCGTGTTGGCGAACTTCACATGTCTTCGAAATACTTTTTTTTTTTTATTTCTCAGACATGCAGGTTACCTCACGATGTTTTCCTTCATCGCTGAGCACGTGGTAAATCAGCACTTAAAGTAGCAACTAACAATTTCATTGGTGCCGGCGGGTATCGAACCCGGGTTGCTCGCGTACTGTGAAATTTACCGCGAGCGCCAACCATCTGAGTTACCACGGCTCTGGAATGTAAATAATGGTAGAGATAATTTTAAAATTACATGCTTCTAAAAAACCAAAACTGTAAAACCGACATAATATTTACGAACTAGTGACCCGCCGCAGCTTCGCCTGCGTAGGATTTTTTAATGTGTTGTTATTTATATTTATGATAATTAAAGACCAATTTATTTTATAATTTTTTTTTCAAAACAATACTCTCAAGTTTTTCGCACAAATGTAACTTTCATAACTCCTGGCATTACACTCTATCTCTTCGTAAAGTTTCATTATAACTGTTTTACATGGTAGAGCCATGCTGCAGCTATATTAGTAGTAAAGTTGTAGCACGAATGGGTCGGCTCGACCGGGGATAGACCACGTTCTCACAGAATACCAGCGTAACATGGCAGCTTGACACTGCTGTGTTTCGTGCGGTGAGTGTAGAGAACCGGAGACCCATTTTACTGGAAAAGAGGCATTCCATCTTAGTCCTCAGGTGACGCCGCATCTTCATTTTGATTCTTTATTGAGGATAAATGTAGATGTCTATGGGTCACAGCAACCACTTAGCATCAGGTGGACTGCGTGTTCGTTTGTCACCCTTATACTATAAAAAAAAATTAGTTCAGCCATTCTGAAGATTAGCCCGGACAGACAGTGCAAATAAACCCCCTCAGCTCATTATAAGGCAGTTATTTCGATATTACAGGCAGACACTTCAATTTTATTGATATGTATATAATATATTATATAGATGTACAGACTATTTGTTGTAGCGGAAGTGAGTATCTTCGCGTTTTGAAACATTATTTGAAAACTTTTCCCTGTGACAAGCAAAATTTGTTTTCACGCTTTTTAGTTGAAAACCAAGACCTATAAATAATAACTATCTTATGGATGCCATATATGATCCAGTTTACCGTCAAGTTTGCAGCGCGCTTGAAGCGGCGTCCGGTAAACTTGACGGTGTATGGCTATCAGTGTGCATGACAAGTCTACTTAAAGCAAAAATTGTATTCGATTCTGCCGACTTGATCAAGCTTGCAGCGTTATGTAAACTTGAACGTGTGTATTAGCGGGCAAGTACCTATGATATTACTCGAAGCAATAAACGAGAGACGCCATGGTTTCAACTGGTGCGCCATCATGCAAAATTGACGGCGAACTTGAACGTAAGTGGTCTATATGGATGCACTGTAAACTGGACGCCGCGCCGCTTCATGCGCGCTGCAAACTCGACGGTAAACTAGATCGTGTATGGCATCCATAGAAAGCTTTAAAACCGGTGAAAGTCAAATGTGTGGTCAATAGTAACAGAACACGACTGCACTTAACGGCGGTTTTTGGCAGTCACTTTACCGCCGGCGTATTGATAATCTTGTATCATCGTTTAATTATAATTTGAAGTGGGTTTTGATAAACGTGAAAGTGGTGCTGTTTAGTGTATTAAATGTCTGCATGTGTAAAGTATTACTTAGTGGACTTTGTTACATATATATACATTACATTACATTACTAAATTGACTTATCGCTATTATTTTTGATTTTGTATCATGTTAATTCCAATTTTAACTAGAGTATGTTTAAGTAATTTAATATAAAAGTAATAAAATGTGATGGACATTGCATACCAAATGGCGGAATATAGCTGTACTAAATGTTTGTTCTATAAGTGATAAACTATGTAAACACCAACTGTATCAACCTATATTCGCAATAAACGATTTGAATTTCAATTTGAAATTTGGAAATGAAATGAGTGATATTATGGTAATGTAAACCTCAAGTTATTTTGGCTTGATCTGATGTCCAAAATCTCTCAAAATCACAAGGTGACCAACATATTGTGAAGAAGTTTGTACATACATTAAAAAAACTACACATAACAGGTAATATCGTCACCGTAATATGATCACCCGACGGTAAGTGACTACTGTGGCCCATAAACATCTATATTTATTCTCGAAGAATCAAAATGCAGATATGTTTTAGCACCTGTGGAGTAAGACGGAATGCTTTATTACCTGTAAAAAGGGTCTTCGGTTCTCTACACTCACCATACGAAACACAGCAGCGTCAAGCTGCTATTTCATGCTGGTATTCTGTGAGAGTGTGATTCTTCCCCATTCATGCTACAGTCAAAATATAGCTGCAGCATAACTTAATCACCTTATATCTCATCGCTCCATCACCTGGTGCCAGCAGACGAGTTTTTATTCTGCGAATCCTCATCCTAAACAATTTTCCTTACTCTTTTCAGCGTATCAATGCTCATTAACGTATGGATTGCGACGATTATAAACACAAATCAACGCAGAACAGGTGTCTGAACAATAATCTCTTTACAAATTGATTTTCGCATATACAGCTGTGCGTCATTTTTTCTCGCGTTATCAGTGACGCAGGCTAAGTATTTGTGTATCTCTTGGTCATAAAATTATGCCCCGAATTAGGCTCCGAACTGGCCCAAATTCAATCCTTCTTATAAGAAAACATAGTTTATTTTTAAGTTTAGTTTACGACGGGCTGTTTTCCGTAACTCCACGTTTAAGCGCGTATTTTGCGTGTGGGCGAGAATATTGTGATTATTCGATCCATGAAATCACCCAGGAGAAGTTCTTTAAACAGATAGATTAAAAAGAAAGAAAATTTTGTTTCAGAGATCATGAGGTGTCTGTGAAAGTAAACACCTGGCAGCCTACTGCGGGAAGTCTGCAGTATATGAACACATACAGGGTCGTCCCTGTCACTACATTAGATTTGATAGACCACAAATCCTTGCTAAAGAACACAGATTCCTTCCAAAGATGATTCACGAGGCTATTGAAATCAAAAAACACCCTAATTTCAAAAGAGAAGATAGCTGGGTGCTGCCATCTGCTTGGAATCTTATAATTAATAAAATTAAATCCCAACCTAAGTATACAACTGCAAGACCTCAAGATACTATAAGTAGATACCATGTAGATCAGAACAAAAATTAATAACTTTAGTCTGAAGGTAGCCTTTGTTAACTATGACATTGGGATGTCAAACAGCTCAGTCCCCCCCATAACCATAGGTGCTGTAAAGTGCTTGAAACTTTGAGAAATAAGTTAATATACGTGACGAAATCCATAAAAACTAGTTTTATTTAAATTGGTAGATGATAATTATTCAGCATTCGTTTTTGTGTGAACATTACTAAAAACATTTCATTTAGATTGACAGTTAAGTCATATTCTTTACACCAACTCTCCATTATATGGGGAGCCACTTAGGTCAGGTCACACACTAAGCTTGCGGTTTTTTTCAAGACCAGTATTATCAGGTCATCTCATCTGCATAACCAATTGTATAGAAGTGGTTGGCATTTAATTTGCAGAAGCTAAGAAAGAATTTAAGTTTTTCTGCATTTTACCTGTGACTACACATGATCCAGAACTATCCAATCACCACAAAGCTACAGGATTATGCTCACATTTTCAACAATCGTTAGTTATTTTTCAGTATAAGAGGGAGGCCTTTCAATAACATAATATGCATTTTTATGAAGTTGACCACATGGACCTACAGCTAAAAATGGTGGATTTGGAGAGGTTAATTGCAGTAACAGAAAATTAAAACTTAAATTTTAGTAGATTTTAAAGAATTTTTTCAGAAAGAATCCATTTTTCTGCCGACTTCTTAGGTATGTTTTTCTTTTATGTGTGTTACCTCATAACTTTTTACTGGGTGAACCGATTTCGATGATTCTTTTTTTATTTGAAAGCTGATACTTCTCATGTGGTCCCACATGAATTTGATCAAGGTCAGACCAATAGTCATTTAGTTATTCTTAATAACTTATATTGAAGTTGGCTGTACAAAATTTTTAATTTTAAATTATTTTAGATAAAACTTACAGTAACCAATATCTTTGACCTTTCCTTCTATTCAAACCTTTTTTTTTAACAGTAACAGTTACACACAAAATCTTAATTGAATATTAATTTATACATATTGCAACAAATATTCAAAAAAAGTGGCCTACTGAATAAATTTCTTCCCGGATTCAAATAGACTCCATGCATGTGTCCAAATAATCTCATGCTGGTAGATATATTCATACATTATGTATGTATGCAACGGCATAATATTGTACCATTTTATTTTCATTTACACAATTATTTCTTTCTATACATAGAGATAGATATTTTTTCCAACAGAAAACATATCTAAGGGTGAAATAGACAAACCCCTTACCTTAAGGGAAGCTACTGAGTTTTATCTATAATGTACTTATACATAAAAGATGAAACTCACAAGGTTTCCTTTTAGTTAGCCTACATCATACATATAATGTTGGAGATTGAAGGCATTAGTACAGCTCTTAAAGTGCTCAGAGAAAAAAGAAAGGAATAAGAAACACAAATTCCTTCACAATAAAATACAATGAGATCCTAATCCTAGCTACTGATTACTCTACCTACTGCTTGTTATACTCAGACCACTGCAGTCATCAGGTAAAAAAATGGCAAGTAAATGCAAGGCAGTAACCAAAATATTAGCATTAGTGATTAAAAAGTATTAGTTTTGTTTTTATAAAATAAGGGTGAAAAACGAGCACACAGTCCACCTGACGGTAAGTAGATGTAGTGACCCATAGACATCTACATTTTTCCTCAATTAAGAATCAAAATACAGATGCATTGTCACCCCTGATAGAATACCACATTTTCAGTTAAAACTGGTCTCCGATTCTCTACAGTCACCATATGCAGCATTAAGCTGCTATTTTACGCTGGTTTTCTGAGAGTGTGATCCTACCCCGGTCGAGCTGACCCATCCGTGTTACAACCATGCTATAGCTGCAGCATGGCTCTGCTACGTATTTTCTTTTAATTAAAAAAAAATTGTAGAAAGCAACAAAAAGCAGCAAATGTGAATTTTAAAAAAGTTATAATCATGTCACAGCAGAAACATATACAAACCACGATAAACAGATAATTTCCAGTTTGTACACTTGATAACCTTAGTTAAAAATTAATTTTATAACAATATATAAAATATTAAAAAAGGAGACACTCACGATTTGCTGCGCATTTAAAAGTACACCGTCACTGTATGAGAATAAATGATTTGGTAGATTATTCAAATAATCAACGAAGCCATTCAAAAATTTTACTTTTCTTTCTACACTTAAATCCGAATAACAAATCGATATAAGAAAGCACTGGCTCAAAAACAAGCAACTAATCAGTTTCATGACGCTAAGCAAAATATGATCATTGCTGATTGTAAACACAAATAAATAATGTAACAGGATGTTGATGATCCGTCTTTTTGACAGCTGAGAAATTTGTAGGCATGGGTAATAAATATCGATATTTTTTTAAAAACATATCGATATATATCGTCGATATTTTAAATCGAGATATATCAACATATCGATATTTATTTTAGAGTATCGAATTCGTATCAATTTCGATATATTTTAAAATGTTGTATCGTTTTTTTCGTTGTCCAACCGTCAGTAGATAAAATTTTGGACCTTATCTTTACATCATTCAAATGATGACGATATATCGATATTTATCAAGCAATATATATCGATACTGTTTCAAAATATAGATTCGATATATATCGATATATTTTTCCATAATATTTTGTATTTATATATATTTTGTACCAAAGAGTATAGTAACTGTCCTATACAGGAATGCTTTGTACACATTACACAACACAACACATAGTGATGGGTTAACTCGGGTTACTAACTCGAACTTACTCGAGTTGCGGCTAACTTGACTTAATTCGTGTTGCGGCTAACTCGAGTTAATTCGTATTGGATCTTCCTAACTCGAGTTTGGGCTGCTGTAGTACATGAACGGATTAAGTGAGCCGTTCGTTGTGTTCGCGCTTTGTGTATCAAAGTGTATATAGCTACAACCTAAACAATTTGTTATTTAGAATTGTATAATAGCTAAGTTATGTGATTTAATTCCTTTTATAATTTTGATTAATTATGATCAATATATTTTGTTTATATACATAAGTATATTATATCCGTTTATATTTTGTATATATAAGTATATTTTATCCGTTTATATATTTACTATTAAATTTTTTTCTGTTTATTACAAAGTAGATAATATTAAGTTTGTATAGTTTAAAAATATTTTATTTATTTGCTTTTTGTAATAAGATATAATGTTTTTACTTATTTATTAATTTATGAATGGTGTTGCACCTACCACAGCTTCTCAAATCATCCAGGGTTGACTGGTAGAGAATGCCACAAGGCATTAAGTCCGCCCTTTATATCCCTTATTATAAGGTAGATGTAAAAAAAGAATAAATAAATTTAAAAAAATATAGTTTACTACGTGCTCGGCGGTGAAGGAAAACATCGTGAGGAAACCTGCATGTCTGACAAATAAGAAAAAAAATATATTTCGAAGATATGTGAAGTTCGCCAACACGCATTATGGCAGTGGACTTTTTCTTGCTCTAAAACCCTCTCAGAAATGAGAGGAGGCGTGTGCCCAGCAGTGCGACGTGTATATAGGCTGTAACTTTACTTTTTGAGTTATGTAGATCACAGACCTATTATTGTAATACCCAAAAACATTAGTTAAGTTGTAAGATACATAATATTTTAAATTAACGTAAAATGTAACACTTGACTTCCAATAAATATATTGAATTACGTGGTAGAGCCATGCTGCAAATATATTGTGTAAGCAGCACGAATGAGTCTGCTCGACCGGGGTGGAACCACGCTCTCACAGAATACCAACGTAAAATAGCAGCTTAATGCTCCTGTGTTTCGTATGGTGAGTGTGGGAAACCGGATACCTTTTAAACTGGAAACGAGGCATTCCATGTCAGTCCTCAGGTGTGACAATGCAGCTGAATTTAGATTCTTAATTGAGGATAAATGTAGATGTCTATGGGCTACAGTATCCACTTGCCATCAGGTTGCCGTTTGTCAACCTTATTCTATATAAAAAATAAAAATAAAAGAATAAAAAAAATATTTAACAATATTTTGACTGTGATAATTAAACTATTAATAGCTTATGTACCTACATATTAAAGCTAGGCTAATATTGTTTCATGAAAACTGATATATAGCTAGTTTTGTTGTTAAATGAAGGTATTTACTATAACTAAGATTAAAACAAAAATACAGAAGTATGTGATACTGTATATACCTTTTTATGCCAATCCAACATAATAAGTTTGCTAATTGTAGTTATCCCAACCTACCAAAGAGCTATATAAAAAAACAAATTTATAAAATAGTAATTTGTAACAAATTATTTACTCTGTTTCGTACTGCTAACTCGAGTTGCGTAACTCGAGTTTAAACTCGAGTTACTGATACATAATAAAAGCGGTTGAATAGTGATGCGCCAAGATTAATGCCTTTGTGGTATTGTACGTATTTTATTAATTTAACTTTATAAGTATTTAATGAATATTAGGTAGTTGGGTAATTATAAGGTAGGTTTTAGCTGATCAATAAAACACAGGTACTAATTTATACAACGATGTTCATTAATCAAGCACAAAAATCTAATTAATTTACTGCCCCCCTTAAAAAGGGTTAACTTATTATTTAATTGACGTTTTGATTACGTGATCGCAGTTTTACGTACAAGATATTTCTGTATCTGAATCTGAAGTCAATATATTCTTAATGAAGTACACCGTAAGTAACATAAACAACCGCCGAAGTTAGTTTTTAATCACTTTAAAATTAATGTAATTTTACTTCAAATTTACACTCTAGTATTGCACCTTCAATCAGCTTGCGCAGCCCACGCGTAAATTCAAAAATTGATGAGCACTAAATTGGATGATGCTGGGCTCCCAGTTGAACTTTTTTATTGCTACCACACATTTATGCACCAATTCACTGCTTTTCGCAAATCTTAAGTTAGGAAAGTATTTTTAACTTATTTACCTGTATCATGTATGTACCTATATAACAAAGCTATTAAATTATAAATAGGTAAAATATTTTTTTTATTTTAAATTTTTGAATAGCTTTGTATCAGTTCAGACCATTTGCGAAACCCTATAACTTCGTTGTGGATAAAACTAGAAGCATTGTTATAAACTTAGTATATTTACAAATTTCATTAAATGAAAACCAGTAGTTTAAGTATTATAACTAGTCAAAGTTTCTTAATTTTGTCGCTCACTCACTGACCGATCATTAAAACTCTAAGGCACTTCTAGTAGACATAGAAACTTCAAATTTGTCGTAAAATTGTTGCGAAAATGAATAATATGTATTCAATCTATTTATTTAAAATATAAAAGATTTTTAGTAATGATGTGGTCACTATAAGATGTTGTTAGGTTAGCTAATTACGTAATAACTTAAGACAGAAGGACCCTTAAGTACGGACTGAATGAATTAACCGACTTGGTATTACATGGATCTCACAACTTTTTACGGTAGAAGAACCGAGTTGCGAGACTTGGTTTTTTTACAAGTTATGTTTTTGATGGCATTTGAAATTTTTGAATTGTAATAAAAAAAAATTAATTTCTTATGATAAGATTATATTGTTTTTACGAATGAAATCATGTTATTACAAAATAATCGTGTAAAACGTGATACAGCACCAACTCTAATATCTAGTATTCTAGTCTTAATCTAATATCTCTAGTATCATAATATTACTTAGCGATGATAAGAAATATCATTAGTTTTTACAGCAATGTGCAATATATTTCACCATGGTAATTGAAAATTCTAATAAATACCGACGGGAGAAACAAGTAGCGCGTGTTCTGTCGTGATTAATTGCATCGCCCTTGCCATTTTGAGACTGTTCATACCCATACTTACTGTTCCTACTCGCTAACGCACGCTCCATAGCTTGCTTCCTAATAATCTAAGGCCTGGAAGCTTACCACAAACCAACTCTCGCGAACGCGCGCTCTATAGATTGCTTACGTACACTCTAAGAATACGGGAAATATCCTTACGCTCACCAGATGTCACTAGTTGGGACTGAGGTGACAAATAATATCACGATAATTGAAAACTTGTATTTTAAATAAAATTGTGTTTTATAATGAAAAACTTGTAATGAGTAGAATAAGTAGAATACAATAACTCTACTCAGAGCTAACTTTCTGTGTTTCAAGAGACGTCGAGTGTAATTGAATGTGTAAACTTATGTTGCAAGAGTATTATTATTTATAAAAAATAATAGCTTAGACATAATGTTTGACGGCCTATTATGTATATTGTTGAAAATGTCGTTTCATTGTTGTTATATTATATACATAGATTACCTCCATATATCACCGTAAAATATAATGAACTAAAAAAAACTGTTGAAACAACTGTTTTGATACTTTGTTAAGACAGTTTGTTATTTCCAATTTTCGATTTAATAATACCCATTTGTTGATTTGATATAGATCTAAAATAAAAATTATAAAAAAAGAATTATAAAAAAAGAATTACTTTTCTATTTAAGAATGCGTATTTTTGTAGTCTGATTGCACTGAACCTGAATTTTACTTATTAAAAGCAACTATTGATTATTACAATATATTTTTATTTGTTGCAGTTTGTTATAATTGTTGCCAATGACATGAAATATTAGATTTAGATGTTGTACAGCAGTAGAAAGAATTAGGGAAAGAACTTGTTTATATGATGTATGTTTATATGAAATACATTATAATTATATACAGTCCGTACGGATAAAAAATGGGATTCGAAATGGCAGCTCATTGACTCCGTACCGTCAACATGCACAGTACCGATAGCGATAACCGCTAATAACGGTCGTTATAATCTTATATTATTCGGTTAATTGGAAATTTTCTTTTAATGCGAAAATATTTGAAAAGAATTGTATATGTACGTAAATAATTTTTTAGATAATATAAATAATAATAATATAAAATAAAAATAATTTTAAAAGAACATTTATAAGTAACGACCCGCTCTAGCTTTGCCTGGGTGGGACCTATTAATGTGGCTTTATTAAGACTTAAGATAATTATTAAAGACCACTTATTTCATCTTATTGATATTTCTTTTTTAATAAAATCTCAAAATTTTGCGGATAAAGTTTATTGTGAATTACTCCTAGTATTACTCTCTATTTGTTCGTGAACTTTTATTACAATCGGTCAGCCCTATGAAGTAATATATACTTACTAGTGTTTCTATATAGTTTGTGGTACTTACGTCAGGGTACACTTCGATACTTTGGGTAGGGTCCA